CACGCAATACTGTTAAGTCTCAACCAAAGCAGCAAACAGCGTTGGCAAATTCAAAGGACCGTCAAATAACACTGTTGTCACAGATCAGAGGTCACGCGACCAAGGGTCGCTGACCGTGCGTTTGTAGCGTGCGAATCTATACTGAACTTAACAAGCGCATCCATCATTTTCGCCACGCGCGGTAAGTCATTCTGAGGTCCTCGAAGTCCGGCCATCAAATCTTACTATTCTTAGTATGCTATTTGTGTACAGAAACTCATCTTACTAAGCACATCCCTAAACAACGAGGCATGGTATGTATATACGTGCATACATAGGTGCATATGCATATGTGCACATACGCATGCATGGAGATTATTCATTTTCTCCAAATCATGGTGAATTCCGCCATTTTGAGCCTCAGTTTTTCGGGGAAAACTTAGAAAAATAAGCTGAAGTTGACTGCTAAATACCATTGAGATTAAGCACGAAGTTGATTCCTTGCACGCTTACAGTTAGCCGACTGGTCGATGTGATCACCTAATGGCTGATGACTAACGGTCTTTGCTTTGTTTGTTATGAAGGAGTACAAAATATCTTGGCATTAAAATGTATTATAGAAAATGGATAGGAATGTGATGCACAAGCATAATAGGTGTCACATATTCAATAAGCAATCAACATATCACACCACGCGGCGGACGTAGCACTGTGTTCGACAATTGCGCGGAAAAAATTCATTGGCACCTAACCGACTGCTGCTGCGAGGCTCAGACACTAAGACCAACATCGACGAATTCTGAGCGATCATGGGTGCCGGGGCAGGCCAACAAAGTGGCTTCCGTCAAACGAAAGCGAAAGCAAGCGTCCGAACCAGCGAAAAGAACCCAAAACCAGCGTGCTAGGCCCCTGAACGACCGGGAGTGTCCCGGCAGGCTGACATAAAGGGCCCCGGCCAGAGCATACGGCGCCTTGAGCAAAGGGGCTGGTGTGCGTGCGCGCACCCAAGGCCACTGTGCCGCGTGAATGAACACCCCATGCGATTAAGAGTGCCCAGGTGAGTTAACGGAGAGGGCTGCGATGAGAGTAGAGGGTCCTCAGCAAACGAGATCAAAGGGAAAGAGCCCTAGATCAATGGAGAGGGTCCCTGAGCACCGAGTGGCTCAGTGCCTTACTTTACAGTGGCTCAAGCAACAGCAGAAGGCCCTCCGAGCAAGTGGATAGAACCAGAGACCGATATGAAGGCCTCTGTGTAACTGAGTGTACCCTGGCATATGGGGTCCCCAACGAAAGCGCGTAGAGCCTTTCGGGCAAATGGAAATAATGCGTGGAGGGCCCTTGATCGATCGAAAGTGTTCAGGCATGCAAGAAGATAGCGTCCCAACAGCAGTGTAGGGCCTTGCGAGAAAATGCAGAGATCAAGGCACCGTGGAAGGCTCCTCAGCGATCGGGTTGGCCCGGCAAGTATACACATAGGGCCCCGGCAACAGCGTAACACCTCTAGACAGCGTAATGAGTTTTCGCTGTTCACGGCTTCACTTTCGCTTGTCACTGTTCTTGATCGTCTGGAGGCCCAAAGACGTCCAGCTTTGTGTGTTTGTGTTTGAAGACTGTGTCCGTTCGCCCGGTCATGGGCCCATTCAGAGCCTATAGGTCTCTTCGGGGCAGAAAGGGGAGCACAGTTCCTGTCCCCCTCTGAATCCGCCATTGGCCCGAGCAATTCGATAGACGGAGCCCCAAGAACGTAGGGCCATCTATTCGAATCAAAAACACCCAAGCACAGAATGGAGAGCCCAGGAATGATCGAGTGTGCCCGAGCAGGTTAACAGATGGAGCTGCTCGATGAGCGCTTAGGACGCTCCATTCAAAAAATAAATACGCACGACACAATATGGAGGGTTATTACTAACCTACACGATCTAGTGCAATCAAGCAGGTTAACAGATGGGGCCCTCGACAAGAGTGTGGGATCCCCCATTCAAATATGAAGTACTCAAGACCCGATGTAGATGACCCCCGAACGATCATGTGTGCCAGATCAGAAGGGTCCCGACAAGAGCGTAGGACCCTCCATTCAAATAACAAATACCTTAAAACCCAGTGTGGAGGGCCCCCAAAGGATCGAGTGTACCCAAACAGGCTATGATGTGGTCCCTACAGGAGCGCAGAGCACTGCATTCAAATACCGAAACCCAATGAGCAGGGCCTCCGAATAATCCAGTGTACCCGAGCAGGTAAACATATAGGGGCCCCGCAGTGTGCCGGTAGGTTAACCGCGACAAATGCGAAGAGCCCCGAGCAACCGAGAATAGCCAGCATGTCAACATATGGGGCCCCCGGGCTCTAGCATATAGAGCATTTCGGGCGAATGGAAAGAATCCGTGGAAGGCTCATGATTGACAGAGTGCCCCGACACGCTAGCAGGAAAGACGCCAGCAGCAGCGCAGGGCCCTTCAAGCAAATGCAAAAAAATCAAGGGCAACGTAGACATGCCCTTGATTTCTTTGTTGAAGGCTCCTTAATGATCAGGTTGACCCCGCAAGTGGACATACAGGGCCCCCGGAAACAGCGTAGCACTTTTGGCCATCGTAAGCAGCTTTAACACCCCCCAGGCACCACCCTCTCAATCAGTGAAGAACAATTTTGTCTACTCGTGGGCCCTTCACTCTCGCTTGCGACTGTTATTGGTCGCCGGGAAGCCCAAAGACGTCCAATTTTGTCGCGTTCGGTGTAAAACTGCGTCTATTCGGCTGGTTATGTGCCCCTCGGAGGGGGCAAGGGGGCACGACCCTGCGGCTCCCCTCTGGATCCGTCCCCGTGAAGACGGACGCCGTGCGAGTACCGGCTGTGCCCCGCTCGCGCCATGACACACCAGTGTGCCCAGCAACGGCTGCCGTGCGACCTGAGTTATTGTCCGCTCGATCAGCCGCCGCTCCCAGGGCTGGACGACGCCCACTGACTGAAAGACACTGCGCGTATTGCAGCCATTTGTTAGGAAGCGACGGCCCGAGCTGCCGACGGCGGCGACAAAACCAGACCGCACTTTCGTAGTGGGGCGATGTCTCGCCGGTTCATTCAGCCTCGAGTGACTGCGGGCCTCAGCCCGCGGCGATATATCGCCGTCATCGTCGGCACGTATTATGGCGGGGGTAATCGCCTGGTTGTCTATGGACGCCTGTAATTTCCAAGGGTGTTGGCATCGCGACGCACAGGCGACACCCCGACACAAAATCCTTGCGCACAACAAAATGAAACGAGAAAGCATAGCTGCTTAAAAGATATCTGAACTGGAGCTCACGCCTCGGCAGCCAACGTACGAGCATGTTTTGCAGCCAAGCTAGTTTATCGACCCTAGAGGTTGCTTTTTCCTTGGTTTTCAATGAGGGATTTCATTTTCGTTCACACGGGTACGTGGTCTCACAAAAAACGTAGGGTCCTCAACATCGACATTACGATCCGTCGAGCGGTGAAATCTGTGGCCGGCCATTGTTGAATGCGCTGAGACGATAGAGGTCGACCATAGCGGCTACAAACGCGAGACATTAACATTTTTGTCCGCATTTAGCACGTGTGCGCCCGTCTAAGCGCAGTTTATGCGCGGCTCACACTGGACACTCATTCACAAAGTACGTAGTAGCAGAGCTTTGGCGCACAAACGAACCGGACAGGGCGTCAACGGAATGTTTATCAGCTGTTGCGCGAGGATGAGCTCACGCTTTCCTGGTGTTGCATGGAACCAACTGGAGCTATGGAGCAGTGTAGTGCGCACGCCACACGCTAGTGACGAACAAATGGCAGTTGCGCCTTGCAGCTGCAAGGGCAAACTGCAGCATGGAGTCAGCCTGCTTTTTGCCACTTAATGAACCGATAAAAAGACATGCCGCGCACGTGTGTAGTGGGTCGCACTTGTGCTCCTGTCGGCCAGGCTGAAAATATAGTCACCCGATAGTCTGAGCTTGCAAATTTTGCTCCGAAGAAAATGAAAAGAAACCCGCCATTTCTGAATATGGTGAAGCTGTCTCAGAGCCTCATGCGGGATGTTTAGCAGAAAGTGAGCCCACTCCACCCATGAAGTCTGCTGGCCTTCGGCCCTTGGGTACCAGGCGGAGAAACAAGCGACGGCCACACATCATGCTTCTGACGGCTGATCACCGTTCGGCAGCGCACGCGACTTTAGCTGAAGAACATAAATGACGTCCTTTGCGGCATAACGATTTCTGAGAACATTTGGGAATTCCCAGACCGGACTTCAGGCAACCAAAATTACAACATGCGTTGCCACATCCAACTTAACTTCACTAGAATCCAGCTGACACTGCGTTCGTCGCTACAGATAAATGTTAATTCAGATTGACGTTAGCAAAAGCCTGCATTCTCGTCCATCACTCCATCTTAACCGGAACCATCACATTCTCTGCGTTTCGCACAATAGTTTTTCAAAGCCGACATCAAACAATCCCTTAAGGTTTATTCCTGCTTGCCAATGTGTTCAATCCCCCTCTCCACGTATTCTACAGGTTATAACACACATTCTACCTCTACAGACGACTGCATGTCGTCATTTCACAATCAGGTTTATCAGCACTTGAGAGCTCACATGAATGCGCACGATGCGCGCAGAAAGTAATGTGATTAGAAATATCATACGAAAACATGCCCAGCATGCCCCCAGCATGCGAGGGATGACCGTTGGCAAGATGTCTGGTACTGCAAGTGGAAGGCACTCAGACAGGAGCACTTCTAGTTACTAAGATGCGTAGCAGCTTTACACCTTGCTAATAGCACTAAAGCAACAGGTGTTCCCCGAAGAAAAACTCCAGCAATGCATACAAGAAATTGAGGAGAAGCCTTGCAATCAGTCCGCTTTAAAGCGTAACAGAAAAATCACGGCACTGTTTCGCTCACTTTGGGTAACCAGCTCACCAACACGGCGAGGTACGAACAAGTCTAGCGTACAAAAGCACCGAGAACAACAAACCACATCGGAAACTGGAACGGATCCAAAGAAAACACCTCTTCGGGAATCAAACGCGGTAGACGGTCGGGTGGCAGTCTGGTCCACAGGAGGCGGGCCGGCGGGAGGCCCGACGCTGTGTACCGGGTCAGGACGTGGCGGTCGAGCGGACGGCCGTGAGCCAGAGTCCCAGGGAGCGGCCGCCCGCCACCTGAAACACGGACGGAACGCGTCAGCTGAGACATTGAGGAAGTGTGCCGCGTCGATTTTCGCTCCCCTCTCCTTACACCCGATCATGGCGAAGGTGGAAAGTTCGTGTTACTGATGTGTTTTCTTCGCGCGATTCGACCAGCCGGACGAATGGCGACGAATATGAAGCGTCAGTTGCGTAGGATTTTAAAGGCAATCGTACCGAGCACAAACGCAAGTGACCGATTACACTAAGCCGAAAGGTTTAACTAATTTTGAGCATGATCATTTAATCATGATCATGATTTGATCACATGATCGCACATGAAACCTAAACAAAACAACGGTTCTGTGTCCGTGTTTTTCCCATGGCATGGGACAGAGTCGGCTGTTTTAAAGCGGGCAGAGGTCACAGCGGGCGCGATGTAGCATCGTGAATTCTGATGGCTACGCGGTAACAAGCACGTCACGGATGCTTAATTCGAACGTCGTCGTGAGCTACCAGAAGACGCCGTCACCGATCCGCCTTACGATTGCTTCGCGAAGTCCTAGACTGAAATCGGCTGGCTTCTTTCATCCGTTACGGAGCAAATCGTGCCGAAAAACCGCACGACGGCAAGCCGTAAGTAAAGATGCAAGCACGGCACAGTAGCGCTGTATGAAAACAAACACAGCAAACACAGCACTATGCACCGAATGCAGAGGCTGTGCCAAGCACGGTAGTGGTGTGCGTAGCGCCAACTACCAAGTGGAAAAACCCATGAAGTTTGTTCATTGACAGTCCATGTGCTTACACCCCTGCGGGCTCCGATATACACCACTGATGTTAGAGCGAATCCCATCAAAACCTGTCCACCAAATCATCGGAGATCAAGGCATCAAAAATGTGTCCCTAGCATTTCTGCTTTCGGAGCAGCGATAGCTTTTAAGAACGCTACACGGCGATCTATGACCTGCGCGGGCAGCGGTGGAAACTTACGAAGCCGCAGAACACAAGCATCATAAATACATGGTCAAAACATATACAACTATGCACTATGGTACTCCAAACTGAACAAGGAACAATCATATCTAGAATTCGTGTCTCTGAAAGACACGGTATTTTATATAAGAGCATACACAGCTAAAAGTTAGATTTCGTGAAAACTAGGGTTTTGACCTGCTATAATGGGGCCAATAGCAGAACTAGCGGCATCAACCTTATGACCAATCGCGATACATCGTTGAAAGAAATCCACTGATATTTTTGTCCAAGTTCCATTTTTTAGCTTGCAAAAGGCAGGGGCCGCCCCTTTTGCAGACCAGAAACTTAGCCAGGCGGGGCGGGCCAGGCTGCGGGCTGATACATATTCTTTTTTTGGGGGGGGCGGAAGTTGCGTCTCTAAAATGAGCCCAATACGCTTTTCAATCCCGTGACACCGCCTGCCGCGGTGATGACTCGACGCTCCATTCCTGCCCTGCCCTGCCCTGCCGGGCCAACACGTCGCGCCGCGCTGTACCACGGCAGGGGCGACAGCACCACGCGACAATAATTAATCGACGGCGACGCGACATCCAGCCATTCCCATAAACCGTGCCAGTAGGGGTAATGACAGATGCCGCACAATTACGGACAGCTGGTGACCGAACAAGTCTCGGCAATGCCACCTAATCACGCGACACCTTTGTCCAACAAGGCGAAATGTCATTATATGCGCAACCATCAATTTCTCGGGCGGTCTAATGTCCGCAGCTGATACGTGGTGTGCAAAAATAATCAGAAGCGACCTGTTCAACACTGGACTGTTCAGGTCCGGTCACCAGCCGCATCCGCGGGACTGGGACAAATGTGCAAATCTCACCTATTTGCTGAGTCGCAAGTTTTTAGGCATTGCACTACCAGCTATTGAGTTACGCTACAAGTTCTGACATATAAACTTCAAACATATAAACTTACAGACGGCATGCCCCACAAGACTTACACAAAGAGTTTAACATAAAATTTCATGTTGTTAACAAGCGACGGTGGTCAGGTTCGCTGGACGATTTCAACGGTCGAGGATGGCAAGCCGACGTTCAAGAGGATGACCAGTTCTTCGCCTGACGATGGGTTGCACAGGTCGAACGCACGTTATAACCTACACACATTCCACCATAATGTTTGCATGTTTTAGCATGCCACCGCAATAACACACATCTCAACGCAATCGCTGATTACACAACGTTGGTTGAGTGTTGACTGTAGGCTATGCAGAAATCAAAACATTGTCCCGGAGCGCTCGAGTTTTTATGGACTGGAGCGCTCCACGCAGTTGGTCGGCAATGACAATTACACCTCACATCGGCAATGGAGGGTAGGTCAGGAAATGATACCAACCCACGAATGTGGATCGCTTCCGGTATTCCAATTAATCAGGTACAAACTAAGGGGTGCTGGGAAATACTGACATTTCAGAACTAAACGTTTTCAAGATTGCTGCCCGAGAGAAAACTGAAATGGTCCACATATGTATGCAAGCTCATGCTCAACAGCAGGGCACCAATAGCGTGGCGGTTAAGCTGCGCATCTGGGAAACCTGACGTAGGGAGTTCGATTCGACCCGATCTCCGCTCTTCCTGCCAGGGCGAGAAGCAGGCGACGCCACAAAACCTCAGCAGCTGAGTGCGTCGTGAAGCCCCAATGTGATGTTTAACACAGTGATTCGAAACAACAAAAAGAAATTCAAAGGAGCAAGACTATGTCTAGGCTTTGCCAGTTTGAAGCTACCACCGGCGAGACTGAGAAACACTGAAGCTCGAATGTTTTGCTTCTTTTGATCCTTTAAATATACTTTGCTACTGTGCACGGGTGACTGATGACCATATGATGCAGAAATTTATCGCATCAGATTCTTCAAATTGACATCGAAGCCCTCTTGACTTCGAACTTGTGATTTACGTCCTGTACCAATGTGATGTTCCGCACAGAAAATGCTGAGAAACATCGTTACAGCGGTAAGGCAGATATTCAAGCCAAAAATATTAGGGCCTAAGCTTTTCGATGACCAGGATGTTCTTTATGGGAAGACACGGCAATTATCAAACAAGCAAACTACTCTTGGCATGCATCTCATACAATTTACGATGATATTGTAGCAAAATGTTATGTCGTTTTGTCTGACGATGTGAGACTCATGTGTTCTAGTCATTGGAAACGTTCTAAGTCAAAGTGGCGACGGCATTGAATGAAAACTTGACGGTGCGCTTCAAATGGTAATCGATTGCTGGGCCCTAACGCTAGACATTCTACATCGATATAAGAGGGACAGATAGATGTTTTAAGGAGCTTTGACACGTGGATTTCCGCGCTTCGAAGTCGATACATGTACAATAATCACAGAAAATAAAAACCAATGCACAGTCACAATACGGGCTGGCGGTGTTTTGGGCAAGCGACGAACGGTGCTGTCAAAGGATGTTACTTCATCGTAAAAATGGCTTAAGGTAGCTTCAGAACCCTCACTTTTGAAGAAAAAGTTCATCCCGTAAGGAGGCCTTCTCGCAAACCCCTTTCAGACTGCGTCAAAATGGCTCACGTAGTTTCAAGATTTTCGCTCTTGAGAGAATCCATTTGGTACATCTCTCCCATGACATTTTCAGACTGACTTTCATTAAAAACGTGACAAGAAGGCTTTAGTGATATCACACGTCATGCAATGAAATTTTTTGGCTCGATTATCATTCTCTGCACGTTTATTTAGCTCTAAAGGCATAAGTAGCGTGAGGGGGCGGGTGGAGACACTGGCAACACTATATCTCGCACATATCTACTCATCCGTCTACGACAGCTAGACTTGGATAGTGCCAGAAATATGGACAACTTCGAACCCGAGGGTGGCGCTGCTGCCGTAGGCCACGTAATAAACTAAAAGCCATCAACAGCCCTGGCATTTCGATCATGAGACCGAATTTAGACAAGCCCACTATCTATTGTTGCTGGTACACCGGGATTTTGATAGTCTTCGACAAACTAATATCTCTGGCTACCAAGCCCTCGGATTACGCACGCAAACACAATCAATTCTAGATTGAGGTGGGCATACGCGGAGCGGACCTTGTAATACTTGGGCAAGCATGATTGCGCCAGAGTAACGAACAACGGAAATCACGCCACATTTTTGGCAGCACTCAAATAAGTTCGTAACTGGACATTTAACACCGCGCCAGCGTTATTGCCCCTCACGGATGTGCAGCTGTTCAAGCTCCAAAAAACCAGCCTTTAACAGCTCTCAAATAAATTACCAGACGCGCATTTCGAGCTAATGTTCAGTAAAGCCTGACAGCCTGGCAGTTGGTTTCCGGGACATCATATATCACGTCATTAGAATAGTTTGCCGCGTACTCTATAGCTTAAATAACGATCGGGGTTTAGCAGATCAAAAACACAAGGCATTGAATATATTTGTTCGTTTTCAACCCTCATCTAGGCCGTTTCAAAAACCCTCGAACGATCCTTTGAGCACTCGATTCTCTGGTCATGTTGAGCTCTTCTGGGTTATTAGCAGTCTTGGGGAGGGCCGTTTGTCTCTCCCGCCAATTATGAATAAGCACGATAAACTGCCTCACTAATAAGACAGCATTGCCTATTTACCCGATGTTACCATTTCCATAGGTCATAATTTACGTATTCGCGTGGACTTCTCGCGTTATATGCAAATATTACGCCATCGTTTTCAGTTACCTTATACGCAACTATGTCCAAAGCAGACAGCCAACGGGAAACCAGTGACCCGCATCTGACAAACTCGAGAGGGACCCCGCTCGATACAGGCACTCCATGTCACTGCTTTTGAAACGAAATTGGCCGGGTCAAAAAGGTTTCCTCTTACTTTTCCTACGATGGGTAAGTAAGAATGATGCGTGAGATCTGTTTTTCAACCTAACAAACCCAGAGTCTCTGAAGTTTTCACTGTTTTGCGTTATCCTCGGCCGTGACCCTACGGAATGAAACGTTGCTGTACTGGAGGCACCACCAGGAGTACTCTACTCACATTGGGACCATGCTTGGACCCATGTGAGTAGGAACCCTGGGACAATTCTTACGTTGTGTGAATAGATCTTGAAAAACAGACAGCCGTATAAGTATAAGGTCAAGATGCAGTTCCTTACAACTTATTTAAGAACGGCTTGTGGTTCTTCACTATTCAGCTCTCGAACTACCTAATAAATGATCCACACCCTTAATCCTCGAGCACCGACTTCCTTTCAACGTCCGAGCACATTACGGAGAGCGTTATCCCCACCACGTGCCCAAAGCCAGGAGCACATCACAGAGAACGTTGTCACCGCCGCATTCCCAAAGTCAGGAGCGCATCACAGAGAACATTATCGTCACCACGTGCCCAAAGCCAGGAGCACATCACAGAGAACGTTGTCACCGCCGCATTCCCAAAGTCAGGAGCGCATCGCAGAGAACGTTATCATCACCACGTGCCCAAAGCCAGGAGCACATCACAGAGAGCGTTGTCACCGCCGCATTCCCAAAGTCAGGAGCGCATCACATAGAACGTTATCATCACCACGTGCCCAAAGCCAGGAGCACATCACAGAGAGCGTTGTCACCGCCGCATTCCCAAAGCCAGGAGCGCATCACATAGAACGTTATCATCACCACGTGCCCAAAGCCAGGAGCACATCACAGAGAGCGTTGTCACCGCCACATTCCCAAAGCCAGGAGCGCATCACATAGAACGCTATCATCACCACGTGCCCAATCAGAAGCACGTCACAGAAAGCGTTATAACCACCACGTGCCCAAAATCAACAACATGCCACAGAGGGCGTTATCACCACCACGTGTCCAACGTCAGACGCCTCAATGCTACGAGGAAGCTCCGTCCTCACTTGGAATAGGATCATTCAGTAAGTCCTGATCACGGGAATTGATTCCATACATAATCGTATTCGAGTTAACATGGTCGTACAAGGGGAATCCAAGAGGACCTTAGTTTTTCGGAATAACCTCTGAACGGCTGAGTGCAGTGCTGAAACTTTAATTAACTAAGTTTACATCATTCTAGGCTTCATTAACACTCTGAAGTGCAGTGCTACCTCTCTGGTAGCTTTTGCAAGGCCGGGTCATAGAAGATCAAGCTAGGTTAAACTTCCACCTTTTTAACCACATTTGACTGCGGAGGGTCATATGGTTCTAGCCTTCAGGACGACCATCTCGCGTCTTCGGAACGCCTTCCTATCCCTGTTTCCCCATTGATGTGGCTTGTTGTAGTTTTCGATATAGCCAGGCGAGCCAATGCAAAACTGGCCTTCACCCGCCCCCTTGGCCTGACATGACGTTTCGCGAATCCCATGCGCCATTGTCCTCTGGTGCTTATCTAATGAGTTTTCCAGGAGTCATTCAAGTCCGTCTTTCGCATAGCCGTAGCACGCTTAGTTACTAAAGGAACAGACAGCCTGATGGCGCCTATTAAGTGTAATTTTGACCCCTAACCTGGTTGGATCTCTCAAAGGCCACATTCATCGTTGTTCAAACACGCCTAGATGCAGGAGAGCTCTCACTGCCGTTTTCCGCGAGATCTAGGTGCTTATGTTTAGAGATCTTATGGGAGGGGGGGGGGGGGGGGGGCTCTAAGCCCCTTCGTGGGGTGAAGGTGAAAAGCTCGCCTGGAGAGAATTATAATATGCACTGGGTTGGAACACATTAGCATGATTCGTTTACTATCATTCTTTTCATCGAGTCCGTTCTGTACGCTGGCATAATTCCGTACATTTTGACGTAAACATGTGCCCTTTGGATACAGTATGAGAACTATGACCAATTAAGTTCCTAACATCACGGCGAATGACAAATAGTAGCTTCGGAAACACATCAGCTATTCTTGTTGTTGTTCAAAAGCTGCTTGTAACCACTTTGCTGGAAGTCAGCAAACCTTAAGAAGCAAAGAAAAAAAGCCTGCGCCGGATCAATAACGTCCGATACATAGCTTAGATGCGCGCAACAAGCTCGACCGAACATCCATCCTGAAACCGAAAACATTGCGGAAAACATTCACGCATCGAATACGACACAGAGATCTCCCGCCTGAACTAACCTGGCACGCCCCTCAAATCCAAGCCTGGACGCCACGGCCGTCGTGCTCTCAGGCCTCCGAGTAGTCCTTGCCCTTGTGGCCCAGCCGCCTGGCCAGGTCGGACATGACTTCGCTGAATATGACCGGGTCCATGTTCTGGCCGAGCATGTAGAGCAGGAACCAGTCGCCGATGCGCGAGCGCCGAATGATGACACTGATGGCGTCCCTGCTGACGAACCGGAGCCGAACCTGCAGGAAGAACGCTCGCAGGCGCGGACTGATCATCAGCAGCAGCCGCATCATGGTGTTCAGCATCGTCAGCCCCGCCAGGATCAGGAACCAGAACCACAAGAAGAGGTATAGCTTCTCGTTGACGATGTTCAGAGGCAAAATGCAAAGAACGTCCAGCACTTCGATGTTGCTGGACGCCCCGTACTTGCGGAAAATGCACTTGGTCATGCGAGGGAAGACCCTGATCAGCGGATCGACGCGGTCTTCCGGGTCCTCCTCCGAGTAGGCGATCACGTCCAGACCGAGCGTCATGAACTCGCCGTCAAAGAAGCGGTCCATCAGGAAGATTTGGCCTGCAACGCAACAGACGTCGTAAATTGCCAGCACAGACGTAGCGCAGACCACTGTTGGGCGAACGGCAAGCTTCTTTTTGTCGATTTATGCTCAACTGCTGTTTCCGGGTCTCCATTGTGCTTTTTCCTTTCGGCTGTGGCATTGATCCGTCTTGTGGCTATCGCCGTACCAACGAATTTCTTACGAGCTCCCTGTTGACGCTGGTAATCAAGAACCCGTGTCAGTTTAAATAGCATACGATGAAGTGCCGTTTTCAATCATCAAATGTAGATGATGAAGGATGATACACCATCCTAGCTCATACACCACTTCTCAAAGGCTACTTTTGGTCTTTAAGTGGCCACGGGCATCCAGCAAGGGTGCTATATGCACAAACGCTTGGAATATTTCCGGTCTGCCAACCGTGCCCAAAATTAACACTGCAGGATGTAACTGTAACCCATTCGATTTTGAGATATCTGTGTTTGTTTGAATCATCATTCGTGAGTGACAATTTACAACCGATATGTCGCCATTCTTTAAATTACCACTATTCGCCAAAGGCAAGTCCAGTGCACAACAGTTAATCGGAAGCTTGCAAAGCGATGCCCCGTTTATATTGATCAGCAGCTGAAGTCTGCATCACCCGTTGTTACTTTTGCTGACAACAGAATAACGATCATCTGATTATCAAGCCGGTATAATAGTACGTATAATCATCAGCCAGCATAAGCGCCCCCATTGGGCTCAGTCCATGCCTTCCAAACGCCTCCGTGTTAGAACATGACCAGCTTGTGGTGCGACATGTGACTTGACGGCGGGACGCGTCGTAACGGTACACGTCAAAACATCGTCAGAAGACAGGAAGGAAGCCTGGCAGGTGACTGTCTCTGTTATTGGCTGCCCGCGTTCCCTTGCTCAAGGACGCAACGATCGCGCAGGAACAAGTCCGCGCCCCTTGCGTATTTATAGTGCACGGTCGATGCAAGCACAACGCACGACCCACTTTAGCCGTGTATGAATGGTACAGCAAGCCGACACTCCATCGACGTGCCGGCCCCGGCTGCAGGGGGCGACGGCGACGCTTCGGACAAGCCGATCGATCCCCTGGTGGGGAAGGCCAGCCACGCAGCGGTCTGCAGGCAGGCGCGACACGCTCGGGCAATGAAACAGCGGTCGGCACGGCGCGCTCCTCTGTCTGTCGCGCGTGGCCTCCGTGTTCACTGGTCACCGTCCAAGCATGCGACGTTTGACACTTGGAATGGTGCTCAATATCTGACGACAACGTGACCTGGTGCTGGAAGAGCACAAGCTGGCTGAAAGAAAAAAAATCCAATACTCTGGTAATTACTTGCGTAATAATATATTGCAGCAGGCTACGAAATGGCAGCCTAGCAGGCACTTCCAAATCCCAGTGGCAGAAGCGATTTGCTGCAGATCAGATCAGGATTGAGTCGGTGCGACTCGATTCCGGTATTTAAATACCCGGACAAGTACGTTGCAACATTTTTATCAAATGCTGAATTTGGAGCCTATTCGCAAGTTCTCCAACTCAAACGAGGACCAATTTAAGAAGACAACGAAGCTAACGTAGAAACCCAGCGACCATGCGATCCGGGTCGGGTGACGGCATCTCCGCGCCGCATCCCTGGTGCCGCATCGCTAATCCGTTGTGGATCTGGAGCATTTCAGGCTCCTGAGAAAATACGCAGCAGTGATCGGAACCAAACATAAACAATGCGTTTGGTGTCGTATGTGTAACTGGGGCAGCATAAATGGATCGAATCAACGTATGCCTGAATTGTTGCGTACGTGGCAAGTTACGGCGTTTCCTTCCTGTGCATATGAGAGCTCTTTTGCCAACCGTTCGGCCCTCACGCCGGGACGCTTCTGTGGTCTCGTTTTGAGCATGCGCTCAATGGAAATCCGGACCACAGCGGTGCACTCGCACCACGGCCTGGCTTTACCTTCCCGAGACTCGAAACCACCGGCGGAGGGGACAATGTTTTGCACGGCGTCGACTCCGCCGCCTTGTTAATGGGGTGCGAAATTGGCATGATGTGTGCTGGTGATGTTTGCCCTGACTTACGAAGGGGTATCCGAGCGTTGCAGTGCATTCCAATGCTGATTTCGGTATCCTCATGCTCAGTTTTGTACGAAAAGCTGGCGCAGGCATTACCATTGGCTTTCAGATTTCAAATCTGCTCGGGTCCCAGAAGCGCAATGCAATATGCAATGGCATCGAAAATGGACAAGGCGAGACACCAAATTACATTGACAGGACCTATGTAATTCTGATGTCACATGCCGTCCAGATAATGTGCACCGTGTAACACCGAAACTAAAACGAAAGCTCGCTTCTGTTCACCAGTTTTGTTCATGACACAGAACTTAAAATCATAACGCACAGCTTGCATGGATGGTAACTGCATTACGAGGCACGCCGAATTCTGCCTAATGGTTCCCCAATGTCACACATTTTCCAGAAACTCAGAAGCGAGGTGTACCACAACCATGACAAGAGGAAAACAGCCAGATATAAATCTGGTCTTCAGCACCCGTCTTTATGGGACAAATCGAAGAGTATTACCGTTTGCGGTTTATTTTTCCAACAACAAACATTACAGCCTTTTGGTAGTCATGGCTGCTGAACGCAGTCTGCCGGCAAACTTCTTTACCAAGACGCGCGCGAGCAACGATGTGTGAGCAGGTCAACCAAAGTTGTTCTTAGAACAATTTCCTTGTTCCACAGAATCTATGCTGAAATATATATGGCCAGTCACCGGCTATCGCACCAAATCAATGCCTTGGTCGAATATCTGAGCAGCGGCAATCGATTTCATGTCAGCCGCGGCTCATTGGCTGTTTTATGTCATATAAGTGTCCAGTGCGAGCAAACTTTGCCGAAGTGAAACCGGCGTGCATACGAGATTTCGTCCAAACCGGAAATGTCAGCCGCGCGAGAGCCTGTTACGCTGCACCCTGCATGCTGTTTGCGGGTCGAAGAGCGCGTTTGCGCGGATCATCATGTTTCTTTGCACACCCGGTCCGGCAGAATGGGTAGAACTACATAGTAGGCTAATATTGCCGCAACGTCACTTGCCGAGACCTCCCCATGGTGCATGTCCACCTAGAAAACAGTCTTAGGGACACCGACATCGTTACGAGTACCAAGGCAGGCCCGCTCAATGGACCACTCGGCCCAGTCGCTTGTTGCAGGCAATAGCAATGCGGGCGAAATGTAAGGCAATGGCTCGTTAGACAAGTGTGCGCCTATTGAACTTGCTCGGTACGTCTCGACGACGGGCCCACCTCCCAGCGAGGTCAAATGTGTCGTTAATTGCAATTGGGCATTAGCCGTCCCGGACAACAATCGATACATTTAATGGGCACTACTATCCGGCCGACGTTTTTAATCAATCCAAGACCACCGTCAACCGGCTTCACAAAGGCTCCTGGGGCTGGACTGCTCGCTAGAACGATGCACGCTGCTGCCGCCGGCACTGGCTACATGCCGCCAAAGTTCAATAGCAATCGAGTGTGACGCAGATCGGCCAACGAGCCCAATGGTCACCAGACCGATTTTCAATTCCAATGGCTCGACCCCTCGCATGCAAAAGCAACACGGGTAGTGATTGTACATACCTACGACATTTGCCAGCGCCACCAGCTCGCAGAAGAAGTACTTGTAGAACCACCAGTTATGGTGGCAAAGGTTCATGTGCAAATAGTCCAGCAACATCTTCTTCTTCTGCTTCTTCTCGACTTCAGCGACGAGGCCAATGTCCATATCCATGAGAAGTGAATGGATTTTGCCTCCTTCCCAGTGTTTCCAGAGCCAGCGCGGGACGTAGAAGAGGATGGCCTACCGGGAGGTCACCGTGTCAACACAGCCACGAGGTTGTCTGGATTTACAGTGAGCCACGGATCACGAGCCCCGTATTTATGGTTTGCATACGCGTAGACAGCATAGCAAAATACACAAAAGCATGAGCTCATATATTTTTCTATCAGTGTATTTTTGAGATATGATCGGCATTAAAACGGGCTGAGATGTAGGTAAGCAAGCAGGCAGGGTATAACGCATGTGGGAGTTTAAGGACCAACAGTCTGGAAAACGCCATAACGTGACAAACATGACATGACAAAACGGGCACCATGTTCAATGAACTGCATGCACAATAAGGAAAAGAGTAACGTTAAACCCAAATACGCTACGACACAAAGATCGATTACTAATAGCTGATGCAGCATAAAACGCAGCTGCTTGTGTAGGATTTTCTTCCGCGTAATTTTTGCTCTGAGAACTTCTTCCGATAAGGTTGAACAAACAGCGTTGCTCTGGTGCTTCCGTCACGGTTTTAGAGTACAGCGCTCCATTCAAAACATTACCGCAGTCAAACAATGCAAAAACGGCATCATCTGACACTTGGTCATTTGACCCCATTTCCCAATGTCCATATGCTCCCCCACATCAAATCGCATTCCATTTTCCAAAAGCTTGTTATCAAAGTCAGGTGTAGCAGAGATGGCTGTGGAATTCAGTCATTGACTTCCATGACCTGCAAGTTATCAAAGTTGTAAATTCAAAGTACCAGGCAGCCCAGGAGTGATTAACACCATGGGGGGAATCTAAGTGTCTGCCTTCCTAGGACAGCACGCTAGCCATTGTCTGCCATTTTATATGCTTCAGCACCGACTTTCCAGAGGCTGGAGGGCGTGTCTTTGGAATTAAAGTTTCCATCCATTAATCATTACCCTTATAGCATACTTTCAGCTTCCAGTCGTTCAGGGCCCTGCTGCACTTACTTGTGGGTACCTCCTACTTACTCGGAGCATCCAGCACTTTTGCTGAGAACCCGAATGCTCACCTGCCAAGACACTCACAATAGCTCTGGGCCCTTCGCATTGGTGCTGGTCCTTCCCATTCACTCGGAAGATCCTACATTGTTGTCGGGACCCTATTAAATAACTCAATGAGACGCTCTCTTGGTGCCCTGGGGCCCTCTGCAATGATAAAGGGTTGTTCCCATTTCTTACCTTTGCAAAGAGCCCCATGTTTCTGTCGGAGACGCCATTTGTTCACTAGCCCGAGAACTCTGACGGCACAATGCCCTTAGTAAACACTTCACTGTTGCCAGGGGTCCCGTAAGTTCACCTGCAAGGCACCCTGAATCACACAGGGACCGTCCACATTGATCATGGGTGCTTATTGCTTGTTGGAAGGGTTTTATGCTCCTGCCATGACCCTGTGTGTTGATCTGCTCCCAGATCGCTCAGGGGCCGTCCAAAGTGGGTTCGGATTACCCTCTTTTCTCGGAGAACCCTCGGTATTGACTGCAGTTTTGTTGCTGTTTTCCCTGTGCAATTTTTCCACTGATTTCAGAGCTGATCGGGAATCATTAAATGTCGCATGACTTTCACTAGTTATGAAGTCAAAATGACATGGCTAACCACGCGATCATAACCACGACCGAGGACAGTCCGCCGCGGCTATTGTGTACGCGGTTAAACATTCAGACATAGCGCGCTAGTCAGCACTCAACATATTAATCGAGTAAGACTTCAGAAATCGGGTTCTGTCGCTATAACTTTCAGGATCGCCGGCCGTGATTATGAGCCACCTGCGTCTGTGGCTCGAAGTGCTTTGATGATAAAATAACGCACACGCTGATGGTCTTCATTTTGCTCGTTAATGGCACAAAGCCCATTGAAATGTTTACATCCGCGGTGCTGTAACACCTAATGCGTTTAAAGTATGAATGGGAGAATTACAAAGGTGAGATATGCCGACCAGAATACTATCAACCCCTACAAAATGATTTGAAACAACTTCGCCCGCCCACCGATGCCTGATGTTACGGCAACGAAAACGTTGCCGTAATCCTCGGCATCGTGGGACGTTGCCGAGCGGCCCTCGCCGCATGCCAGATCGTACCTGAAGCAACTCCCTTCTCCCCCCCCCCCCCCCCCATCACCCCAGGGACACTCTGGATTCGCCCTGACTCCGGAGCGAGAACGAATGTATTTGTTTCTTTCTACAGACAATGACGAGCTGATGAGGAATCCCGAGGGGTTGTCCCGATGGGGGCACAATGTTTATCTTCGAAGGCTCGTTATTTTTCAAACAAGGTCGGTGTGAGGGGCTGTTTGAAAATGTCATGTTCAAAATCTGAAGCTTTTTGACTTCCTTGGTGGTGAATGTAGAGAACACAGCGGTCGCAATACGGCCCTTTATCGCGCCAGATCCATATGGCTTTGGATGGCCCCTGCTTGGTGATTTCAAGCAACCATCACCTGCAGCTCTGTTATTGTGGCCGCTTCTGGTGCGGTGGGTCGGGCCTGGTGTTAACCCATTTCCTTCCCAGGCCTCCGGACCACCCCGCGCTACGGGGAGGGGGATCCAAACCGCTACTTCCAGCCTAGTTAATAACCAAACAAGGCGGAACGATGCGGTATGGCCACCGTGGTGGTGTTTCCTAAGCTCTCCGGTGTATCCAGTTTTTTGCTCTACGTGTGACCTACCAGGTCACGAAAAAGGCCTGAAGACGGGTCAACACACGACGAAGCGGAACCTTCCTAGCCTCTGCGCACGACCCACGCAACGCAGCACCACGAAAATGACACCGCAGCCTTTCCCTGTGTCTTGGGCATGCGATTACATACCAGTGGACCGTGTTAGGCAGCGTGTTTAACCTGGATATCTGATCGAAACAAAATGTCACTAGGGGTAATACTACGTCAGTAACCTTGTCTGGCCTTTTGGTAAAAATGATCCATAAACTGCGGTAGCATTTTGATACATGCAATTAAAATCTGCATGAAGAGCTGCCCTGCACAAGTTTCTAAAAGCAAGGGGCTGATCGAGGTCATGCTGGGTGAATGCCCTCCCCTGACCTTCATGAAACAAAATAAGAGATTTATTGGCAACATAGTAACCAAGGACTTCAAAATGAGTGTCGAGAGCCACCCCTCATAGAAGGTTCTCCAGTAAAAAGCCTGTTTCGTTTTTATGTTGACCTGGTTTTGTACCTGAACCAAGACCAGTGGAATTAGCTGCAATCCTAACTTCAATGTCCTAGTTATCTTATCAGCGGCATCAGTTATATGTATTGGTCTAAGACTCTAATGTCGCACCAGTTTTGAATTATTCCCTAAAAATCGTCTTTTCTGACAGCCATGACCGGACTTGGACCTCCTACAGGTCAGCAACCTTAGAGTCAGCCCATATATTGCGTCACGTATTACGAGGCTAAAATGATTTCTGATTAGGCATTACCAAAGAATAACAAGTGTGTGTGTGGGGGGGGGGGGGGGGCGTATCGTTACGCTCCGTGGGATTGACATCTTAGTGTTATTTTCATGCCTAAGCCTTAGAGCCGAATATTGTTGACTTCATCTAATGACAGGCAGCACGCTTGTCTTTGTTTCGCACCACTAGCTCAGTTGAGGGACAAAAGGACGCCTTTTGCCTTTTGGGTGCGTTACGCTCAAAGCAGCCTTACTAGTGGAAGATTGCGTGACCGATGATGGAGGCGACAATTTAAAATATGGCCACAAATGCGTAAATTATTCACGGACTGCCTCTTAACCCTCGGCCTGATAGGAGGGGGAGGGTCAATGTAACACCCCCTGAGGTTTTTTGAGGATGCATTTCCGACATGTTGTGCAATCGCGCGCAAGTTTTCAGTACCCCATGCGGCACCCAGTGCGTTTGACGCCAAAAACGCGCTGATGGCTTTTCTGGTTCGGAGCAGCTGCGGTTTTTGAGGATCACTGCACGGCTGGCGATCTCGGGCCTGAGTGGGCGGCCAAGAACGCTGCCGGGGAACGTAGCGGTGGGCCGGCATTGTTGCACTGACATAGCCACATAAACAAATACATGTTCAAAACACATAAAAGAGACTAGACACCCTTGTACTCAGAACTGAGCAAGGAATATGCCTACTTAAGGTTCGTGTGACCACGCGGGATGGTAGGGAACGTATGATGCTTTAAAGCTTTGAAGCCGAATGAGTGAAATTAACTTTACTTAACAGTAATAATGTAAAGCCGAATATTTCTGGAAATTTTGCCCTTTGACCTGACATAATGACACCACGTGCCATGTTCATCAATTTGGAATCTTCAGAGGCAGGGTCGCATCGCCCCCCCCCCCCTCCCCCCCCTCCCCATTGGTGCGCATTATGAAAAATGTCAAATCTGGCGAGGGTTAAGGGGTGTATGCATTTCTTTACCCCAAAATGGCTACCCAGCTATTTACAGCTGTACAATAATTGCGTGGCCAGAGGTACGGGATTCGATTTCCCGCATACCCCGCCTTTCCTGCCGGGATGGGGAGGAGACGTCATCCATCCTCAGCAGCTAAGTGCATCGTAAACCCCAATAACAGCAACAAACAGACGTTGGTTGGCTGGTGACATCATCAACAGCTGGCTTTTTCATGCATGAGACAACTTCCTCAAATAGCTCCCCACATTCACCTACGATGGGTGCAAAGGGAGGGACGCAAACGTTGCCAGTCTATTCAGGCATATAAGCGGACTCGCGATGTTACTCACGCGACTTTTGCACATAATGCCTGTTATGACCGCATATTAGCTGTCGACAAATTCGTACAATGGGAGTGACTTTTTAAGAAAACCATTGAAACTTTACTGGCGCCAAGCAGAATACCAGATTCAAAGTCATTGTCGTATCACCCGTGTTATAAGTGGGGCGTATTATCTACGTCCCATCACATTCAAAAAGGCTCCTTCTCCTCGCAACCCTTTGGAATAAGTCTTCAAGCACCAAGTTTTTTATCTCAGATCCATAAAATGTGTAGTATAGCAGCGCCTTTCCACTCCGATGGTGATCCGATGAATGCATGTTCTTTTTTTCTCGCAGGGCCCGCCAAGCGACATGGCATGTATCCTCGCCATCTTTTTACGCCACCATAAATGATCCACATCCAGCAGCTGACTGTTCCGAAACCTTGCCGTTGTGATTTCAGGAGCCTTTGTTGTCACGGCCCATGGGCGTAACGGGTGTGCCCACGTCTGAGATTGTGTATGTGGGGGGGGGGGAGGGGAAAATCAAAGTCGTGCAGGACCTCAAACTGAAATAAAGAGGGGCCAACTTGACCTGAAGATTCATTTTGAATGGAGAATGTGAAAATCGTGCGTGCTTTAGATAATATTGGACAGGACAAAATGGCAATGTGGAGGGCACATGTCCCCTAGCACCAGGGATGCAGTTGTTTACTCAGTTGGGGGAGGGGGGGGGCTGGAGCCACCCTCAACGTGGGCTCTAGTCCCCGCCCCCTTCATTCGAGCCCCACCCCCTCCCCAACTGTGAGAAGAAAGTGGGCCAAATCTGGGAAGAAACCTGTTTGCTGGCATACTTCGGGGGTAGGTTGGGCCATTTTTCACTGTTCAGCCCCCCCCCCCCTCCCCCAACCAACTCATTTTGTGAAACCATCCCCACCAGCGGGAACATCCACGCTTGTTGTAAAGCAACGAGCCTTAGGCTGCCATACCTTACTTCCGCCTCACTCGCTCACCCAAAACTTACTTGGAAAAATAGGCAGAAACACACCCATTGATAGTACTTAATGTATCTTATGTCGCCAGGCCGTTGAGGCCTTCCAATGCCAGGATATATCACTTCGCCGCCATCTCCTCCTGGCATGGTTGCCATCTTCAACTTGAGAGCAGATGGCACATGGTACGTTGTGTGAATCCAGCAAAATGTGTTCACAACATCTTCTGGTATGTCCTTGGAGTGTATGCAGTTGATTGGATTCCCCACATACTGTCTCGTGGTGACCACCAGCGAAAACGCTGTAAGTATTAGCACTGTCACTGAGTAGTGGATCCGAAACACAGCCGAGTCCGTCTGAACGTGGCTGACTTTGATAAAACTTTTTAAGCCTCGAAATATGTCCAGCATTGCGCCGATTAACGGCCAACGTGACTTGAGTTTCAAAAGAATGAGGATGAGAATCAATCACATCCCACACAACCAGAAGCACGAACCCAAGCAGAGACACACGCACGCCACAGGCTTCGGCGCGCCAGATTTCTGCTTGACAATCACCGCTCCGCGTGTGTACTTCCATTCTTATTGGTCAATATCATTATCAAGAACAATTTGTAAGAAGCAGATGTTATCAAGCACGTTTTCACGTCATCTACCACCGAATAAACAAACTACTCGAAAAAAACTTCCGGATTAACTCATTCTTGAACGGCTCAGCTTCAGTTCTCCGTCAACATTCAGACACAAAAGCATCCAGTGTTAATACTTTCTTTCCAAACTTGTCCAACATGTCGATGATGCTCTTGCAAAGTGACAATGCGCCAGCAGTTGTCACATTGGGTTCGGATGGCCCTGGTAGGTAGAAGACTTCGTGGAACGTGCGCAGTCGCAGACGGGATATAGCATTCTACGCGATGCGCTCACCCCACCAACGCTCACACCGGCTTCCACCAACCGACTGAATCGTGTACTGAGCCAACGAACACCTGAACGAGCGGGCCATCGGCGGTGTTAGGCATCAGCCATGGAGCAAGGACGGGAGGCAGCCAAAGGCAGTGGCAGATCCAGAACTAAGGGGAACAGGGACATGCCCTCTCCCCAGGCGCGGATCCAGGATTCCGTCAAGGGGGGGGGGGAGCACGCAACGTTGTGAACCCCCAGAGTTTGGGGCCCCTCCAAAAAATATCTTCGCATTCCTGTCACTAGATTTTGAGATAAATAGTAAATAGCATATATATATATATATATATATATATATATATATATATATATATATATATATATATATATATATATATATATATATATATATATATATATATATATATATATATATATATATGACCTCATTTTGCTGTGTTAAAGCTGGGTATGTCCTGCATGCACATACGTGGAGCTCATTCATTTTCTCCAGATCACGTTATATCCTATGATTTTGGGGTTAAGTGTTTCGGAAAAAACAAGCGAAATGAACTCAGGTTGGCTGTTAAATGCCATCGAAACCAAGCACAGACTCGATTTTTAGCTTATTTATGGCTAGCCGGCTGAGCGATGTAATCAGCTGATGACTGATGACTAACGTAGCATCTTTTATTTGTTTTAAACGAGTACAAAATATTCCAGCATTCAAAATATGTTACGAACGTGATGGACGAGTTTGATAATTGTCAAACATTCAATCTTCAGGGAAAATGACACGTGCGGCGTCGGAGGCACTTAAAATTATCTTTGACAGTTTCGCGTAAAAAATCATCGGCGCATATACGACTGTTGCTCCGAGGCTAAGGCACCAAGGCTAATGGGGACGGAACCTGACCGAGCATGGGTGCCCTGTACGGCTTACAAAGAGGCTCCTGTCAACAAGTATAGAGTACTTAAGGCAAGCGAAGAGAACCCTAGACCAACGTGGTGGGCCCCTAAACGATAGGTAGCGCCCCGACAGGCTGACACATAAGGCTCCGGGCAGAGCACAGGACCCTCTGAGCAAGGCATAATTATGTAGGACCATGAATTGATGCCACTGTGCGACCAAAAGTGCTCGGGCAGGTCAACAAAAAGAGCCCGATGGAAGTGAAGAGTTCTCTGCAAATGAGATCAAAGGGAAAGAGCCCTCAATCGAAGAAGAGGGGCCCTGAGCATCGAGCGTCTCGGTGTCTCACCTTATATGAGCCCTAGCAATAGCACAAGGCCATCCGAGCATGGAAAGAACCCAAGACTAACATGAAGGGCCCCTGAGCAGCTGAGTGTACGCTGACATGTGGGGCCCCGGAAAAAAGCGTATAGAGCCTTTCGGGTGAATGTGAAGAATGTGCCCAGGCATGGAAGCGGATGGTGTCCCAACAGCAACGCTGAGATCATTTATGGAAAATGGAAAAATGTAAAGAGCAGGCAAGTGGACGTATATGGCCCGGGCAACAGCGCAAGGCCTCTGGTAGGCATAATGAGGCCCACAATTTCCCTCAATCACCAACCTTTTCAAAAGTAAATATCGTAAATTTGCTTGGTTATAAACCCTTAACTTCGTGCTATGTCGTTTGTAGGCCCAAAACGTCCAATTTTGTTGTATTTTTTTGTCAGAAAACTGTGTCTGTTCAGCCAGTTATCGGTCACTTTGCAGCCTATGGGTCCCCTCTGCATGGTCCATGGGGCATGCTCCGGTGCTACCCCCCCCCCCCCCCTTTGTATCCGCCAACGGCCAGGGCAACTTGATAGATGGGGCCCGCCAAGAACATAAGGGCATCCATTCAAGAAAGAAGTATTCAAAGCAACATCGATGGCCCCGGAGTGCTCGAGTGCGCCAGAGCAGGTTAAAAACCCAGTGCGGAGGACCCCCGAAAAATGTAGTGCGCCTGAGCAGGTTGTCAGATGGCCCCCAACAGAAGCGTAGGGCCCTAAATTCAAACATCAATAGCTAAGGTACAAGGCCCCAGAACAATCCAGTGTATCCGAAGAGGCGAACTGAAGGGGCCCCCGACAAGTACGTGAGGTCCTCCACTGAAATAGGAAGCACCCAAGACACAATGTGGGGGCCTCCAAACAATTGAGTGAGCCCGAACAGGTTAACAGACGGGGGCACTGGACAAAAAGAGTATGGCCTTCTGTTCAAATATGAAATACCCACAACATGATATAGGGAATCCCCGAATGATCGAGTGCGCCAGAGCAGGTTAACAGGTAGGCCCTCCGTCAAGGGCGTAAGGCCCTCCATTTCAACAGGGAGCACCCACGACCCGATTTAGAGGCGCCCCAACGATCCAATGTGTCCGAGCAGCTTATCAGAAGGGGTTCCGACAGGAGCACAAGGCCTTCCATTCAAATAAGAAGTACCCAAAACCCAGTGCGGAGAGCCCCTGAAAGATGAAGTGTACCCGAGCAGGTTATCAGATGGCCCGGATAGGAGCGTTTGGCCCTAAATTCAAACACCAAGACCCAATGTGCGGGGCCCAAAACAATCCAGTGTCGTCGAGGAGATGAACAGAGCGGCTCCCATCAAGTGTGTAGTGCCCTCCATTAAAAAAGGAAGCTCCCAAGACTCAAGGTAGAGGCCGCCGAGCGATCGGATATGCCCGAGCAGGTCATCAAGCAGGCCCCCGACAAATGCGTAGGGCCTAAAAAGTATCCAAGACTCAGTGTGAAGGGCCCGTGAAGGATCAAGTGTACCCGAGCAGGCTATCAGATGGCCTCCGACAGGAGCGTAGGGTCCTACATTAAATTCCGTGTGCCCGAGCAAGTTAAGAGATGGAGTTCCGACAAGTGTGTAGGGCCCTCCATTCAAATAGAAAGCACCCAAAACACAATTTGGTGTGCCCTGAAAAAATCGATGTGCCCAAGGAGATTAATGGATGGACGCTTGACAAAAGTGAAGGACCATAAGCAGGTTGCAGAGGATTTGAAGCGCCCTAGACCAATGTAGAAGGCCCATGAGCATATTGTGAGTGTGTCGATAGGTTGACCGAGACCGACATAAAGGACGCCTGAGCAACCGAGAATATCCCGGTAGGTTAACATATAGGGCCCCAGCTATAGCGTATAGAGCCTTTCCGGTGAATGAAAATAATTTGTGGAAGGCCCCTGACTGACAAGAGCGCCCGGCACGCTAGCAGGAAGGACCAAGCAACAGCGCAGGGCTCCCGAGCAAATGCTAAAAATCGAGGGCAAAGTGGAAGGCTGCTTAACGATCAGAATGGCATGCAAGTGAGCATATAAGTTCCCCGAAAACGGCGTAGGCTTCTTGGACAGCATAATGAGGCTTAAAACTGCCAAATAAGAGTTAATCGATCCTTGAAGTTTTGTTTTTGTCCACTCGTGGGCCCTTTACTTTCGTTTGTGATTGTTGTTAGTCGCCTGGAAGTCCAAAGACGCCCAATTCTGCTGCGTTTTGTGTAAAAAAAACTGCACCTGCTCGGCCGGCTATGGGCTCCTTCAAAGCCAGTGGGCCCCTTCGGGGCCCAAGCGGGGTCATGGCCCCCTACGCCCACCCCCCCCCCCGTCTGAATCCGCCCCTGCCCCTTCCCGCCCCCTGGGAGCAGAAGGGCCTTTTACCGGAACATCCGAAAGAAGGGTCTTCATCCTGTGACTTTGTTTTCTTCAAGAGAAGCCAAGTTGTCTGGCTTTTCTTAAATCGTTTTTGGAAGGCAGCATGTATTTCAATTTTTCAAAATGATTGGGTAGCAGAGTCGTCAATCTCGCGAAAAGGGACAGGTACCAAACGCTTCTAGGATTCTGTCGACTGATTCTTGTTAACCAAGGTACATATATATACATATATATATATATATATATATATATATATATATATATATATATATGATATTAGAGCAGTGTTTTATTCTCAGAATATATATGTGTATATGCGAAGCGCGCACATTATCGTTTGTGTGTATGCAGCATGCTTCGTATAAAAGCGTTAGCTTGATGAGACAGAAGGGCTGTAGGTTTACTTTTCTCTTGCCCATTTAGCCCTCGCCCTGCCTCGCCGTTTTTTCATAACGCAGACTGAACGGGGAGTGGGGGCGCAGTCAGTGCGAGCCCCCTGCCACCGCTGTATATGAGAATAAACTGAAAAAGATAGAGCTTAGCGGAAAACACAAGTGCATCGGTTTCAACAAGGCCTCGCAAATTACAGCATGTTTTGTGCTACTAAGTCAACAATTGACCCCATTTTGCCGGGCCAAAGATATTTTTCACGAAAATCGAACTTTTATAGTTTTACATACTCCGTACGAGATAATGCCTGACTGCGACAGTGAACCTAAACAGGTGTGTTCCTCATTCAAAATACACAATCACATGGCTCCATTCGTGTTCACAATATATTTATGATGTTTGGCTCGGTAAATGTGACGATATTTCCTACCCCTCTCCCGTGCACGCGCGTTTCGCGGCAGCTTCGGTTGCCGCCAGCCGCCCGCGCTGGCCATGGATCGTCGTGCAATGTCCCTAAAGCAAAAACGCCGCTGCTCCGAATTCAGAAAAGCTAGGGGCACATTTTTGGTTTCAAAAAACGTAATGGATGCCCAAAAGACTGCTGAAAATTTGAG